CTATTTAAAGAGAGAGTAGAGTTAAGGAAACTTTTCTTATAGTAATCGTGAATCTCCTATACAGGAACCTCAAATATATATGTCTAATTTTTAAAAACAATTTCTCTCTTGAGTAAAGTAATGTTTCTTAAGAACAACAGATATGAAACGAGGAGTAACTGAATCAGAGTAGGGCATATGGAATAGTTTGTAGTATCTGAAGTTTCATAACACACCATAGACTATAATCTGATTTATTCATTCCATATCATAACATATATTATGCTCAGCTGCATATATATGATTCGTAAATTATACATAAAATATAATTTAAATGAAATCTATCTTTTGAGCAAAGAAATCTCCTCTAGTTATTATGCATAACATTTGTTGTTGTTTTTTCTTTTTGTTTTTTGTGGCACACCAAATAGTTTATGGAGTCCATATGATTGGCTTAAAATGCCATAAAACGCAAAAATAACAGCGAAAATGTAGATGAAAAAACGTAATAAAAATTAAATAATTTATTGAAATGAAATGCGTGTAAAGCAAACAAAAAAGGCGAGTAAAAAAAAAAAAAAAAAACACACAAAAAATTAACCATGACAGCTATAAATATATTCAAATAGACAAACAAACTACAACAAAAACAACAAAAATGTAAATCTGTGCGTTAATTTGCATTTTTGTTGCATGATAACAAAAGGCAGCAGCAGCAGAGGCAGCGGCAGAGGCAAACGCGTAAACCGCAAGCAAAATTAAAACACGAGACATTGTTAAAATATTAAATTAAAATTAACATTGCCAAATGGCAAAAGCATCAGCATCAGGTGTGTGAGATGGGGCGTGGTCGGGGGAGGGGGCTGCGGCGGGGGTGCATAAAATGGCTTGTCAAAGTGAATTTAAAATAATTATTGTGCATAATGCGGCAAGGCGCGTATTAAATTAAATGCTGTACAATAATCGAATTAATAACAATAATGTATTATAACAAAAACGACAGCAAAAAAAGTGGTAAATGCACACACACACACACGCACACATATTTAGTGTTTGAAAATATTTCATTTATAAATATATTTTAATGCCTGTCCGCATTATGCGGACTCTAGCGTAAATCCTTTTGCAGTTGATATACCTACATATAATATATCTATAAATAGTATTTCTTTATCGCTAATTATTATTAAATTGCGCATTGAATTGTAATTGAAATTAATACGCATTGCGGTCTCTTGTCTCTCTTTGCAGATGGTAAGTTCTTATCATCACTCAATCCTTCAGAACTAACATACGATGGTAAGTCACATTCCACATTAAGTCATTTAACACATAGAACATAATGCAATACCATAGCTTGTAGCGAGTACACACTGTATGTATGTATGTATGTATGTATATGGGGCACACGCTTTCGCTCTGGTTCTGGTTCACACATTAATCAACCGATCGAACATTGATGTCTGCTTGTCTGTCACTAATCCCCAGCTACCGCTGCTGCTCCGGCTCCTGCTCCTGCTCCTGCTCCTGATCAATCACGTTCGCTGCTGGAGCACGCCCAGTTAGCGCGTCGAGGCCTTGCCGCTTCCTGTTTGCCGTTTCGGCAAGAAATGAGAAATTTCTTTTTAATTTAGACCTAAACAGACGTGGCGGCTGACGCAGCCCCAGCAGCAGCCAGAGCAGCAGCAGCAGCTGATAAAAAATCATTATAAAGTTAAATTTTAATTAAAAACTACAATCGATTATAAAAATATGAGGGCAGTCTGTCTGCGGCTCATAAATTGAGCACACTGGCGGTCTCGTAGCTTTCAACGTGCATGCCACGCCTGCCCCAGCACAGCCCCCCACCCTGCTATCTGGCGATGACGATGATGATGATGAACTTGTGCCAATTTTTGATGCTCGCTGATGCCAGCGCTGTGCGCAGTGGCAGTTGCCACAGTTTGATCGTGGCCAGCCGATAGCTGCTCACGATCCGGGCCCTTGATGTGATTATATAAGCAACCCATTTCGCTTTCATTAATGAGCAGCAGTAGCAGGAGTAGCAGGAGTAGCAGCAGCAGCAGCCGCAGCAGCGTTTGCCTGGCACGTGATTTTTTGCTGCAAATTTGATTTATAGTCCGGTTGCTGTCTCGGCTAAGCGAGCGGCCCCCGCTTCTGCAGTTCATCGAAGAAGCAATAACGCATTGCAGCTGGCGGCGTTAACTTGAGGAACGGTGTGCAAAGCCATTAAAGACGCTCGAAATTAGCAATAGTTGTAAAAGCCGTAGCCCAGTCGGTAGCCCAGCCAGGGAGCAACGACCAGAGCAGGCCGCATACGCCCCGTTTGCCGCTAGACGTTATTCATTTGTTTTCCTGCTGGACCAGGACCTACTAACCCAGTAAGCGCAGACAGTCGGACAGACGGACAGACGGACAAGCACACACAAGCATTTAGGCTCTGCACAGAAACAAAGAAAACAAAAAATAACCGAAAATGAAAATGAAATATGCCAAAAAGTGTAATTTGTATTATAAGAGAGGAAGAGAGGGCGAACAGAGAGAGAGAGAGAGCGGCACAAGGACTAAAGTGGAACACGGCTCTGTGTGACTTCTGTGCGCCCACAACAACAGCAAAGGCAACAACAACAGCAACAACAAATGCAACGGCCATGGCCAGGGCCAGACACAGACACATACACGGGCAAACGCAGCGAAAGCGAGTGAGTGCGAGCGAGAGAGCGCGCATTTAAGCACAACTTTAAATAATCGTCTGTCAGAACTGTCAAACAAGCCGGCGAGCGCTAGAATTAATGGCACAGTGCAAGACAAAGAGAGCGGGAGTGAGAGAGTGAGAGAGAGAGCGGGAGAGCGAGGAGCCGAGTAACAGTTGTTCTGTGTGCCTGTGTGTGTGTCGTTTGCAATTTGTTTGCCCTGCGCAGGCGCAAAGCGTGCATTGAACCTGTGCCACTGCCTCGGCCGCTGCCTCAGCCGCTGCCACGGCCTCTGCCTGCGCCTGTGGCAGTTACCCGTATGTGGAGCAGACACCGCCGCAAGTTGAATTATTGTTTTTGCGCGTATCGAATGAGACCGTGAGTGAGAGAGAGGGGTACAGAGAGGGGCAGAGTGAGAGAGAGAGGGAGGCAGAGGGAGGCGAAGAGAGCACGCGACGCAGTCGCAGCGAGTTAAAAACAATGTCTGCCCAGGCGTCGACGTTGCTGCCAATGTCGCTGCGGTGCTTTATCACTCGGCCCTGCCGCACTCCGCCCACCCAGCCGCCATGCAGCTGTATCTCTGTCTGTGTGTGTGTATGTGTGTATTGGTGTATAAACTTTACACAAAATTAATGCGCTGTGCCGCAGCGGGCGAACTTTCAACTGTTGCTGCTGCTGCTGCTGCTTCAAGATGAAAAATTATTGCTTTTAATTTATTGCATAAACAAAAGCAATGTGTGTGTGTGTGTGTGTGTAATAGCGTTCAAGGTCATGGTTAAAGTGTGCACACACACATACATACACGGACGTCGCATTGACTGCGCTGCTTGGGGCTTTCCCCGGCGTCGCAGTCGCAGTCGCAGCGCCGCCAACTGTCAAAAATGATTTAGTAGTTCAAAGCCGCGTTTTGTTGCTGCTCTTGTTGTTGTTGTTGCTGTTGCTGCTGTTGCTGTAGCCGCACATCATTTTTCGCACTTTTGCCGAGTGCCGCCGACCGTTTGCCTGTCAAAGGCAAATCTAACAGCGACAACAACAACAACAACATTGACACTTGCAGCGGCCATTTTGACAGCTGCTAAAGGTCAAAGTGAAAGTAAAAGTGAGGCAGAGTATTTGACAGATTACACACACAGACATACAGGCAGCTCCCTCTCTCTCTCGCTCTCTCTTTCTCTCTCTGTCTGTCTCTCTCTGTGTGTCAGTCATTCATTCAATTGTTTCGTTTAGAGCCCTGTCCGTCCGTCACTAAGTTGTCAAGTGCAGCGCAGTTTTTGAAGCATTCTCGCGCATTTTTATAGTTCATTGCGCTCAATAAAGTCAGCGAGGCAGGCGGGCAGCCGTTTGGCCAGCAAATGACAGCCGCAACAATAAAATGCCAAATCAAATTCAAAAACAGGCAAAATTAACTAGTCATAAAAGCGAAGAGACGACGACTAGAAAGCAATTAAAAAACAAAATATACAAATTTATACACAAAACCAGAAACATCAACGCCAAACGGCAACTGTTGATAGATCATTTCAAATATGTATATATATGTATATATATAAAGATTTGCTGTTGTTGAAACTGAAAACTGAAAAGCGAGCGCCACGGCTAAAAACTTTGATTTATGATGTTGATAAATGAGAATTTAATAAATTTGCTTATTTGCTCGTCGCGTCGGCTTTCGGTTTCGATTTCAGCATTGAGTTTTTAGTTGGCACTGCAAAAATAAATAAATAAATAAAAAACCGAAAAGCCCGAGTTGATTCGGCACACAAAACTCAAATGACCAAACATCAATTAAATCACTGGAATGCCTGGGGTACACCGACTCGACCCGACTGGGTCTTGCGAATGCCCGCTCTGATAGACAAATGATGGCGCTTATTTCAATAGATTAACATGCTCTTTATGTCTGCTTGAATGTCTTTGGGCTCTGGGATTTGTTTTCGCTTTGCATATCAGTTTCTTTGTTTGCACTCGCTGTCTCCTCGGGGGCTGAGCAATTGGCAATTAATGATGCCAGCGATGAGATGAGCAATGAACCAGTTTCGAATGGATCTTTTAAAGAGCATAGAAAGGCCTATTAGAGAGTAGAAGAGCTGCTACAATCGACTCTCGATTATATGTACCCCGATAAATCGTTAATCGCGGTTAAACGAAAAAAAATTCTATACTCTTGAAACAAAAATTATTTTCTTATTTATACCAAGAGCTCTATAGCTAAGGATTATGGTTAGAAGTGTTCTCGTTGCGAATAGGACTTGAAATGGTTTCCCCATTTGTTAAGCTCTTCTAATATTCCAGACAATGAACAGAAGAGCTGCTACAATCGAGTCTCGATAATTTGTACTCCGATAAATCGAATATCCTGATAAATCGGAAAAAATTCTGTCTTGAAACAAAAATTCTTCTTCTTCTTCTTATCCACTTGCCAATTCGAGTCATCGAGACTGTGAATGGGACTTGAAAGAGTTTCCCCATTTGTTAAGCTCTTCTAATACTCCAGGCAATAAACATATTCGCCCAATTGAATACAGCTCCTGCTGCATGGCACTTGAAACATATAAATAATACAATTTACCGCCCACACACCGACTCATCATAATTCTAAGGAGATGAGCTCTTGGCTGGTGTTGGGTGGCACGTTCAGCCTGGCTGGAATACATAAATCCACCACAATATGCGCTTGATATTCACTTGATGCGCCCGAATCCTGGCGATTGTCCTGCTGAATTATGCATGCAACAAATTGTATAAAAATGTGTGCAACTTTACGTAGTTACGTGCCGAAATTTGAAAATCAAGCGACCCACACACACAGAAAGAGAGAGAGCGAGAGAGAGAGAGAGGCGATGCTGAAATTTGAGGCATACTTGTCAGAGGCGTTTGCTGCCAGACAGCAGTCTCATCCTTACATGGGATAAGCCAACCCTCGCCGGAGCAGTCAACTTGCTGGGGACGATTGGGTCTCTCGTCTCTGGTCTCTGGTCTCTGGTCTGTGTAGCGTTTACAAAGTGATTACTCGTGTTTAAAAATTGATGACTGCTGTTGGACACGTTTTCAATTTGAAACAGCCGCCCCCTGCTCGACAGGTGTCTACATTTAACGAAATTGAAACAAGCTCAACTCCAGCTACAACTCCAATTCCAACTTCGACTTGGAAATTTGTCACATCAAATCATTTGCTCGACCTCTGGCATCTCGTTAAACGCCAACGAAACAAGCGCCACAATTTGTTTGCTTCGTTTTTATAGTCAAGCGATAGAGAGACAGAGAAAGAGAGAGAGAGAGAGAGAGCGAGTTGTCGCATAGCAATTAAATGCCTTGCCTATCGTTAAATCATCATCGGCGATGATTGACTCGTGGCTGCTGTCCGTCCTTGAAGATTTACGGCCAGTTAAATGGCATGAGGCGCGCACAATATTCGAGTTCGGCTTGTCACATCGCCCGATAATCGATTTCCGAGAGACGCCACACATTCCGGCCTTTTATGATTAGCCATTAAAGTAACGGCCCGGCTATAGTGGATTAGCAACCGGTCGTATCGACTGTAACCAAATATTTTAATGGCCCGCAGCGAAAAAATACTCCAAAAAAAAAAAAAAAAAAGAAAAAAAA